GCATTCACTTAATGCTGTAATTTCTTCACATTTTTGCTTGTTTATCGATTTTTTATGTACAAATAGGGAGTTCAAAGGCGTAAACCTATTTCCCTCAAATACACTGACTGACTGACTGTAATTTGGTCATAGCGGTTAAATATATAATTTGAAACAAGGAATTGTTTCTGCATTGATCAGGAATGAAGTTGGGCCAGGGTTCCACCTAGCTCAACAGTGGCCCAATAATAAGATTGGGCCACGTGTTGGCAGGGAAGTTTCGGAAAAACCACAGAACTCAAATTACCAGGTCATTGCAAAATTTCCGCATGTGTTTTGAGCGAACTTGCCAAACTCATTATGTCCGAACTTCAATAGAACTGCAGCCTTGTCAAGCGATTAGAAGTGAGCCAACACCAGCTTCACGACATGAGAAATGGCTTCTGGATTTAAATGTGCAGACATATGCCGTCGTTCATCTGCGTCTGACCAACTGACGGTCACATAAATAATATACAAATAAATCGTCCTTTTAATACTTATAAGGGGTACTGTTACGGCAAATAAAAATAAAGTTTCAGGTGAATTTTGGAACGTGTAGAGAGATTTTGTTCAGTGTTCAGTTCGCGCCTATAAAACTGACGACGTGGTAAGATAAACGGTTGGCGAACAGTAAAAAAATTTTTCATTTTTTTCCAAATGGGCAAAACGAATGTGATTTGTTAAGATTTGAAGCTGAAGAACTGTCGCTCATAAAAAGGTAGAAATGCGAGTCGGACATTACCGTGTTGCATATAGCAGTAAAAAGGTAAGTAACGGTCATCGTCAAGGTAGAATTCCTAAACCGCATGAAGCTGTTCGCTGCAGATACGATGATAATGTTTTGTGTCGACAACAGAAACAACCGTCAGGGTGGCTAGACGAGAGGAACCAAAACGTGGTTAGTCACAGTCTCTTTCGATTCCAGCCGAGGAGGGGACATTAAAGGCTGGGGAGGTTATCAACGTGCGAGAAGATGAGACCATGATACTTCCTTACTGACCGACCAAACTACTAGAAGATGGCGAAAACAGAGAGCTCCACCGTGATTGTCAACAATTGCTTAGCGTCAGAATGAGGACATGACAACAAGAACTGCGAAGATCGTCGCTACAATGGGAGAGTAGTAACAATGAAATAGCATGAATTCACAGGAGTTTTTTTTACTGTTGGCCGGATATGTATTTAACGCTACATTGACAGTGCCTGTAAAGTGGCATCAAATAAAATTAAATTAAAAGGACGAGTTAGAGGGTAATAATTTTCGAATGAATAAATGTTCACCGGAACGGATTTGTTGTACTGCTGACGTTTCAGAGAGTTTGGTTTGCTCTCCATTTTGGGACCCTTAAATTCCGAAAATGGATCAGAATCCCAAATAGTTATCTGATTTTGCAGACACCGAACCGATCCATTTTCCCTCTTCATCGCTGCCTCAGAATCTTGGCAGATGGTTGTGAGACTCGACGGCCGCCTGCATAGTAAGCCGTCGTTTCGACGGGGGATACTTAAAACGCTACCTCGCCTTCGATTGATTTCGTTGCATGGTCGTGTCTGTCTGGTTTTCCTAAGTTCTGCGTGGCCGTCGTGTCCAGGCGCTTGTGTGTGTGTTAAGATGCAGGACTTTATAATCTGAGGGAGGATATCTGTAAGTAGACCTGACACCTGGATATTACGCTCTAAGTAAAAGTCGTTCTGTTCTTAAGGTGCCTCCACATAAGATGATAGCTCCTTAAATGTTAAAAGTGTAACCAGTTTCTCCAATTTGATTTGAAAGCTGTGAGTGTAGGTCTAGTCTCCGAGTTGCCGGGTTGTGCGCATGTAGGCGAGTCTGCGATTTGCGTCCAACTTCCCTGACTAATTTGCAGCCTGCAAACTTGGAACATATTTGGCAAACAACAACCGGGTCTCATTATTTGGCAGCCTGTCCTCAGGTTGCAGCATACGGTGTCGAATTGCTGCCTTGGGTCGATGACCTATGTCTATTGCGGCAAGTTGAAACGGTCGAGAGACCTCATAAGAGACCCCTCCTATGTAAGGAATGGCTGTACAGACTTCGGGTTAGTGCTGGTTTGTCGGCGTCTGTTCATTCGGTGCTTGTTTTGCTTTGAAAATTGAATGCTGTTGTAACCAAAGACATCCCTTAGAGTACCAATGAACATCCTGCTGTTAACGTCGTCCGTTCCGGGCCGACAAAATTCGCTTATCATACAACCATAGACCGTCGGCAGTTTTTGAAGGTTGCGAACTGTGCAGCATGCTCTCTCGGAAAGTCCTACCTACCGACGACTATCTAAGTAGTCTTCGGAGGCTCGTCCAAAATTAAGACCCTATTGTTTGCGCAATAACAAGTAAATGTTCTTCTGGAATGATGGCCAGTATTCAACGTATTCCTGAGCAAATAAAAACGTGCTCTATTTAGACTTTTTTAAACGGCTTGCTCAAGGCCTTTTGCTGGTAAGAGTTGAATTCCAACATTCTTTACCTAGTGAAGCTCAGAGTGGGTATTGCCGAATGCGCCCTGTGAACGGTTTCGACGGGCACATGATAATGCTTTATAGTCTACAACGAACAAAATCGTCGTCCGGCTTACTTATTGACCATTTTGGCTGAGCCTATTTTGTCATTAATAACCCACCAGTGAGTGGTCTTACTGGTATTACAAATATTCGTTAATGACTGACTAGACGACCCTTCCGATTCCAATATCCCTGTGCATTCCTAGTGGACTGCAGACAGAAAGTGACTGGACATATTTTTCACACGGCCTAAGACGGAAAGACGACAGCGTTTTGCCAAAACTAACGTCTACCAACTGTTATTGTGGTAAGGCAACCTACAGGTTAGACCTACAGGACCGAACGCCATTAGTGTCAAGCGACCACATCACGCTCTACTTCGAGTACTCACTGTTTTACAAACCCGTTCAACCCGATAGGTGGGAGAGCAACATTTGGAAAGGGGACTATTTTCTCATGAGGAGAGGAGCGACAGCTGTATCATGGGAGACTGAACTGCATGGTCGGGCAAACAACAACTGGAATACTTTCAGTTCCTTACTGAAAGAAATTGTTTATTCCAATTGTCCTTTCAGAAGACAGGCAATCACAATCTTCCCAAAATCGATAAACCCGGACTTAAAGGCCTCTTTCAGAAAAAGGAATCGTCTGTGGAGGCGTTACAGACTAACTGGCTCCGAAGAACACTTACTGGAATATAAGCAGCAACGAAACGTTTGTAAAAGTTAGGTCCCAAAGCTGTGAAGGAAGTTCGAATTGGAAATACTTTAAAATTAGTTGGAGCATCCGAAAAGTCTATATGGTTATACATGAAATACTAAAAGGACTCAGGAGCTGATCCCTGCCCTTAGGTCTGCAGATGGAAAAATGGAGACTGATGACCAGGTTAAAGCGTCCCTCCTTTCCGACTTTTTTCAATCCGTGTTCACCCGAGAGCCTAGTTCTATATTTGCCCATCCATCCATTCGTCAACCAACCTCTCCTCCTAGTGCCCTCCTCTCTCCTATCCCCTCCCTACCCTCTTTAATCGAGGAGCCACTCTTTTAATCTACCATAGTTAGGGCCGAGCTACTCCGACTGAAACCTACCAAATCGCCTGGCCCAGATAGAATTCCCGCATTAGCGCTTCGTGAACTTGCTAATGAACTGTGCAAACCCTTATCCGCAATATTTCAAAAGTCATTTGAAGACGGCGAGCTCCCGGAAGAATGGAAGTGCGCACTCATTACCGCGATCCATAAAGGATGCACAAGACTTGACTGCAGAAATTATCGTGCCGTCAGTCTTACTTGCATCGCGTGTAAGATAATGGAACGCATTATCAAAAGACACTTGATGAAATAGCTGGAACGGAACAAAATATTTTGTGACGCTCAACATGGCTTTTGTCCAGGGGTTCCTGCCTAATTAGTGTTCCTTACTCACACAAGCAATGGACACGAGCTACCGATAAGGGTTTTCCAGTAGATGTCATATTTTTTGACTTCAAGTAGGCCTTTGACAGTGTCCCACACAGGCTTCTTTTACAGAAGATCTGGGATGAAGGAATTCAAGGAAGAATGTTTAAATGGATTAGGAGTTTTCTGTCCTCCAGAGTACAAAGAGTCGTCGTTGATAACTCAACGTCGGGATGGGCAAAGGTGGAAAGTGGTGTCCCACAGGGTTCTGTCTTAGGCCCAGTATTATTCCTGATTTATGTTAATGACTGCATGAGCGAAGTGAACTGCGGGGCCCGCATGTTAGCGGATGACATAAAAATATGGAGTGAAGTCAAGTGTGATGATGACGCAGAGAAGTTGCAGTCGAACATCGACAAACTATGTGCTTGGTCGAACAGATGGCTTTTGAAGTTTAACGTGTCCAAATGCGTGGTCTTGCACCTGAACACCGGCCGCAATACCTCTCCAAAACACAAGTACTATATTGACGGGACGAGGTTAGAAACTGTGGAAATACACAGAGATCTGGGTGTGTGGACGACCACAAATCAGTCGCCATCAGAACACTGTAGAAAGATGGTCCAGAAGGCAACTAGTACTCTACACTGGATCAGACGTGCATTTAAAATATTTCCTCCCGAACTCTTTGAAAGACTCTTTGATGTCTTTGTAAGACCTCATCTAGAGTATGGAATGCCAGCAGCTTCATCATGGATAAGAAAGGATATCAACTTACTCGAACAGGTGCAACGCAGAGTGACAAAGATGGTCGACAGTCTAAAGATTTGTCTTATCAGGAGAGGCTGAATTTGCTTGGCTTATTCTCTCTCTCTTATAGAAATATAAACTGCAGTCTACTCTGGACGTTCCGGATTGTCCGCGGCCAGGGTTGCTCCTTAAGAGCAGAGGACTTCTTTTAGTTTGCTCGTACAAACGAACTACGCGGCCATGCCTACAAAGTCGGGAATGAGCGCACGCGTTTTTACCGACTAAGATTCTCATTCGGCCTGTGGGTTGTCAGACCGTGGAACTCGCCTGCAGGCGAGATGGTGACGGCTGACACAATTTGTGTGTTTAAAAGAAAACTTGCTCGTCTACTTTTCGACAGAAATCGGCTTGTACATCTTGACTATGCACTGCCAGTTTTGTAAAGTCTGTCATATAGAACCCTTTCGTATTAATTTACAATGACCTATTGCACTACCTTATGATTACGATTTAACTGTGACCCAATCACATTGTAAATGTCTGCAATTTTATTTTTGAGTACGAATCTGCGAAAGCACTGCACATAAATAGGGTCATCAAGGGCTCTGCCTCTAACCCTTCAAATACGTATACATATGAAAGTTCGACCATCGGTTTCGATGATGTCCACCGTGTGCCCCACAGTTGCAGCAGCAATGGGAACAGGGACGGTGACTTACGCAGGGGTTTATAGTGCAGTAGACTTGCGTAGCATCTACCTACACTCTCTCCTCCTCCCTCGCCCGAGCCTGGTGTCATGACAGAGTCAAGAAGACCGGAGACGAGAGAGGCCGCAAGTGGATGGCTCGGACGGATCCTCACCTTGGCATTCCACCACACCCCCTGGTCCACACAACAAATAACCAGGATTTCAACCAACGCAACAGAGATTTGGAGGCTGGCGCGGCCGAAGCCGCACCTGGGCGTGCCGCCAACGCCTGGCTCGGATCCCACACTGTGATGGGAGTGCCATAAAGGCCCCATCAAAAAGGAGTCATTGCAGCCTGACTCTCAGACCGCCTCCAGTCGACGAGGAGGAGGTCCAAGTTACCCCGTCAGTTGGCAACCTTCCAAACCACGGCTTTTAGCGCACCGTGATAGCTTCAAGCGCGTCAGATTGTTTATAGTGAGGAAAGTGCGCTGAGTCGTCAACCTCACTCTACCTTCCCACTCCCACACCCCAGCCGCTGTCCGAGCCGGCCAGCAGACTGGAGTGGGAGTTGGACGTGGTGGCTGTCATGGTCGACTGACCATGACTGCGCGCGCCACGGCACGACCTGCCCCCCCCCCATACACACAACACCAGGATTTCGCAGACCAAGGGTTGCACGGCGTATCTGAGACAGCTCCGTTGTCTGTGACTCGCGCCATCATACCGTCGTGCAGCTGATGCACCATCTGAGTGAATCGCTCCGTACAGCCGAATTTCTGCATGATCTTCCACAGTACTTCACGATTCACCGTGTCGAAGGCTTTCGTCAGGTCCACGAAGGTAGAGTACAGGTGGGTCCGCATCTCCTGACACTTCTCCTGAAGTTGGCGGGCGGCGAAGATCATATCCGTGGTCCCACGATGACGACGGAAACCGCACTGGCTTTCCGGCAGAAGGCCCTGTTCCAGGTGGGTATTGAGGCGGTTGAGAAGGATGCGAGCGAAGATCTTCCCGGCGATGTTCAGCAAGGAGATGCCACGGTGATTGTCGCAGACTTGGCGATTCCCTTTTCGCTTGTATAGGTGCACGATTGTTGCGTCCTTGAAATCTTGCGGGACTTCACCTTGACGCCACATCTCCTGGAAGAACGCAGTCAGGTGATCCATGAGTTGGGGACCTCCGTGCTTGTAGACCTCAGCAGGGATTGCGTCCGATCCGGGTGCTTTCCCGCTGGAGAGCTGCTGCACGGCCCTGATGGTCTCCTGGAGAGATAGCGGGAGGTCGAGGTCCACGTTGGTCTCCACTTGCGGCAAACGCTCGATGGCGGCGTCAGAGATGGCGGAAGGGCGGTTGAGGATGCCGCGGAAATGCTCGGCCCATCGCTGTAGAATTTGTATCGTCTCAGTCAAGAGGGTATTGCCGTCGGTGCTGAGGAGAGGAGCGGTGCCTTTGGTCGGCGGACCGTAGACAGCTTTGATCGCAGGGAAGAAGATCTTCCATTCGTTGTGGTCCGCGTATCCTTGGATCTCCTCAGCTTTGCGAGCAGTCCAGGCGTCCTACATCTCGCGCAGTCGTTGCTGAAGGTGGCGGTGACTGCGGTAGAAGGCAGCTTTGGTGGCATTAGTGGGGTGATCTTCGTAGGCTTTGTGTAGGCGGTTCTTCTTAGAAAGCATATTTCTGATGGCGGCTTGGTTGTCGTCCAACCAGTCCTGGTTATGGCGGGGAGCGCGACTGAGGACGGCGAGCGCCGTCGACTGGACCGTGTCTCGCAGTTAACACCAGTGGTTCTCCATAGAGGCGTTTTCGGCAGCGATAGGAAGGTTGTCTAGCCTTTGAGCTAGCTCATTGTTGAAGTGAAGATGGTGAGCGGGCAAAGACAATAAGGCAACATTCAGCTTACCTGGGGGTCGCTTACCTTGTGGTCTCTTGCGAGGCTATAGGCGAATACGCATCTTCGAGATGACGAGGGGGTGGTCGCTCCACCCGTCAGCACCCGCGATCGCCTTCGTCACCAGCACGTCCCGCTGATCTCGCCTCCGGACGAGGACATAGTCCAGCAGGTGCCACTGACGCCACCGAGGATGCCTCTAGGTGGCCTTCTCTCGCTCCGGCAGACAGAAGAAGGTGTTCGTCAGGATTAGGCGCTGGTCTGCGCAGGTGCGGAGAAGCAGCAGACCATTGTCGTTTGAGTCGCGGAGACCGTGGAGACCCAGCACTCCTCTCCAGGCAGTATGGTCTGTGCCGACGCGGGTGTTGAAGTCACCAAGGACAATCAACTTGTCCGCCTTCGACACAGTCGCCAAGAGGGCGTGCAGGTCCTCGTAGAATTTGTCTCTGACGGCGTCGGAACTGGTCATCGGCGGAGCGTAGGCGCTGATGATGGTGGCGGATTTGCCTCCTCGCCGGAGAGGCAGGCGAAGACTCATCAGGCGATCGTTGATTCCCTGCGGCAAACAGGGCAGTCGTCCCACGATGTCGTTACGAATGGCGAAGGCGATACCCGCGTCCCGTTGCTCTGCCCTGGGTCGACCGTTCCAGAAGAAGGTGTAGCCGGCACCTGCCTCCTCCAGTTGGCCTTGTTCGGAGAATCGGGTCTTGCTGAGTGCGGCGATGTCCACCTTGTAGCGCGCCAGTTCTCGTGCCACTAGCGCCGTCCTCCGCTCCGGTCGGTTGCTCCTCGGATTGTCTAAAAGGGTACGAACATTCCAGGCTGCCAGAGTGAGCGGGCTCACCCTGCCAGTCTGGTGGCAACGAGTGGGGCGACGGGAAGGAGATGGAGAAGAAGGTGACGAAGGAGAAGAATAGGCAGAGGAAGAGGTAGAAGAGGTAGGATGAGGAGAATGAGTATGGTTGTCGTTGTTATTGGTATTGTTGTTGTTTCGATTTTGATTGTTACGACCATGATTAGACGTCTGCGGCCCTGGCTAGCCTGGAGACGGCGTGATACCCAGCAATGTTTAGGCCACCTTTTCTAAGCCCTTCCTTTCGTGGATGCTGGCAGTGCCATCCCTGAATAGGGCTGCCATGTGCCGTTGTGGCACGGCCGAACTCCACTATGGGACCACGAGTTCGGGTTGTAGTGGAGAGCGACTCGAATTCGCCGTAAGCCGCGGTCTCCGACGGCGTAGGTGGGCGCGTCAAGGCGATGTCGATGTGGAGATCCATCCCGCCACCGGCTGTCCATCGGCGTGCAGAGACGAACCACGTCACGACGGTGCCGACGCAAGGTTCCATCCGACCTTCCATTCAGGGGAATCCGCAAACACTGTGCACACGGCACAGCGCACAGGGCCCCCTCACCTGGTTTAGCCCGCCGGTCGAGACGGTTCCCCGGGGTGTGGCCGCTGAGCAGAGTCCAGCTACGTGGAGCCACAGGTGAGAGTTGAGTGCCAGCAAGTGGACGCTAGGCGCAGTCTCACCTGCAAGCAAGTGAGCGACCACCACGACCATTACGTGAACCCGCCGCTGACACCCCTACACCACACATATACAGATACACTATTGTTACTGCACCCAGTACCACAAAAGCTAATCATTTGCAATATTGAATTATGTTTTCCTCCACCTGATTTTACTGGACGCGAAATCAGACTTTCTGTTTCTAGGAATCATTTATTTGAGACCTCTATTGCTTATATTAATGTTCTTTGGTGGCCCAGCACACATAAATAAGAAGTTTCGACGTGTGAAATTCAGTAGCATAGGCAACAACTTGGATATCGAGAAACCCCTGGTTTCGCCTCAGTGAGGACAATCTCACTCTCGGGAAGGAGGTTTGGAATAACGTCTTTTTAAGTTAACCTCCTTGATGCCTCAATCCAGTTCTACTAGGAAAACCTACCACATCGGATGCATACCGTCCTGCCTACTCGAAATCCCACCACGATGTCCTACGAGTTAAGCCATCTATCGTACAGCGACGGCGACCATAGACTGGTATCTGTTGCTTTCGCGACCACTACAGGTGGTGATTAACTTCACCACCCCTACAAAAAAAGGAATTAGATCGTCCGCACACAAAAACGTCTGGTCGGGCTCGTCGATTGTCCTGGTTCCATAATTTATTGTCCTGTTTACCTAAGTTGGATTGTATATTTATTTTGACAATGTCTGCAAAATGCCATTCACCATAGTATTATTTTAATCGTTATTGTTACTCTTTCACAAACGCTGATCAGTCATCACTCATAAAATGTATGTGAAACTAAGTATTTTCTAGATGCTATCATACCATTTGAGTAGCATGGTGATTGCGAGAAATTCGAACGGGGACGGATAATCACTTACATTATGGCCATGTGTTCGAGTTAGACGTAGATGAAAATTTCGGAGCAGCAGCAGCCTCAAAAGATTCTGATCACTGCAGCGTTCTAGCATACGGTTTGTGTGAACTTACCGAACCCAGTATCTTCTAACCTCCAATGTCAGGTGACTAGATAAAAGCTGATATTAGCCTCGTCTGGAGTGGGAACGACAGAATCTCACCAAATAGTTTCATATTAATGAACCACGTAATATTTTCCTGTAAAATGTTGATGCACATAATTATGAAGTAGAAAAAACTTACAACTGTTCATTTTAAGCTCCCGTGCGAACGCTGATGATGCAAAAAATACATTCAAAAATATTTTAAACGAATTAATATGAAAAAGTGACAGTTTCGAGGCCAATATTCGGACTCCAGGTAAACGTATAATTCGGAAAGAAGACTGTTCAATCGCCGAAAACATTTTTTATTCGTCTAAACTTTTGAATTCGTACAAGGGCCCATCGTCAGAGATAGAGGTAGCAGCAGACCAGCCAACAATTATAAATGGCATGAACAAATCAAAGTTATTGACGGAAGTCCGATAGCAATCACGCAGTGCACTGTGTGCCGACGTCATAGTGATAAGTCAGTTGACAGTGTTCCCTTCTGAGGGCCAGCATCCAAATGATTCGCGGCTTCTTTTGCTACTGGCGTGGACGATTATCTTCGTGCCTGGCAAGTCGAACTCGCAGCCCGTTGCGAAAGTATGGGCAGTCATTTGTGATAATCCGTCACTCCGCGGCCCGGCAAGCTTATATTCGTGTTTCCGCGATCTGAGCGTGCGTTCAGTCTGACCTTTGTAATTACGGGAACGTCTGGGCAAGAAATGCACTACACTACGTCCGACTCCTCACTTCGATTAAACTGATCCTTGACTTTGATGACCCTGCTGTAGTTGCTTTGAGGCAGTGTATAATCCGGACACCTAGGCCAAAAAAATACGCTCGGTCACCTCTTACATGTCCTCGGTGTATGATGGAGCTGGCCGTGCCGTGGGTGTTGTTTCTGGATAGATCCTCCGGAGACACCAGGAAGGCATCGGTTTGTGAACGTCTTCGGATAGCCATTCTGCATAAATTGGTCGCGGAGATATCGCATCTTGCTTGGTATTGCAACCTAGTTGTAGCAGTGCGTCTGAATCCGCTTGAACGCGCGCAGCACGATTTTGAAAAGATAAGTGAAAGTTATATTCTTGGATTCAATTTCTTAATCCCTTGCACAGTTTTCCAGTGTAGACCTGACGAAATTTTCTATTTTTTGTCATAAGACTTCTTCGCTTCCTGTCGTGTTTCTGCGATTTGTCATAAAGCAGAAATCTATTGTCGCAGTTTTTCACCCAACATAGCCTCAATCCTATCAAGTCTTACCTGCATATACAAAAGGTTTTCCTCGTAAAAATATAGATTAACATTATATTTTAAACGATAAACCGTCNGGCACAATATTTTTTCAAATAATGATCTAAATTTTTTCAACAATTTATTACAATGCGTAACAGAAGGTCTTCTTGACCTTATTCCTCGGAAGATGTTCAAACCGAGTGCTAATTCCACCGCTATCCCACACTTTCTTAAAAACAGACTTAAAAAGTTACGGAAGCAGTTTAAAGATCCTTCTGTGAGTTCATTATCAGTTCATCTAAGAATCGTTGAAATATTTGAACTAGCTTCGAAAATAAGGCTCGAGCGAGATAGGCGTAGAGAGTCTTTGGCTATTAATGATGTGAATTCTTCTAAATCAGTTGCTCAGATCTTCCGTCAGAGATCATCTGCTAAGTCCCACCAAGTCATTCCGCCCTTGCTTAGTGCAAGTGATGCCTTCATTACAGAAGAGTCAGGCAAAGCAGAAATTTTAAATTCGTTCTTTGCCAAGCATTTCACCATTGAAACTGATCCGATCCCTTTAATTCCTTCGTTGTCTGATGCTTCTCTTAGCTTCATTAATTTTTCTCCTGAATGTATTCAAAAACTGATAAGTCATCTTCCTAACTCTCACTCAGTAGGTACGGACAATATCCCAAACTCTTTGATAAAACAACTAAGAGATTTTCCTCCTCTGCTTAGCAAAATCTTTTCAGTATTTCTCGTAAATGGCTTCTTCCCTGACTATTGGAAAACTTCTATTATTATTCCAGTATTTAAGTCTGGCTGTCGTTCTGACGTACAGAACTATCGAGGTGTCCATAAAACACCCTCTCTCGCCAAAATCTTTGAAAAAATTATCGCCATAAAAATTACCGAATTTTGCATAGCCAATCAAGTTATTAGCCCTTCCCAACATGGTTTTTTACCAGATCGCTCTTGTGAAACGTCATCTGTCGTTTCTCGATCTACTTACCTCTCTTCGTAATGATCACCTATCTGTTGTCGTAATTTATTTTGATCTTAGTAAAGCCTTTGATAAAGTGCCACATAAAAGACTCTTGATTAAGTTGGAAGCTATGGGAATTCGCAGTCCACTAATAGACTTTCTCAGGTCATACCTGTCTAATCGTAAACAAATGGTTTTGGTGGGATCTTCACTTTCCAGTGAAAGTCCTATTGTGAGCGGTGTCCTACAAGGTACCGTTTTAGGTCCTCTTTTGTTCTTACTTTACATAAATGATATTTCAGCCGCAGTTAAACATTCTCAATCATTTATTTATGCCGATGATCTCAAATGTGTATATTCTTTTAAAAAATCTACGAGCCTTCATTGCCTGGAGCAAATCCATGCTGACTTGCTTGCTCTCTCAGCTTGGAGCTCAAAATGGCTAATGGAATTCTCTCCGTCTAAATGACGCTATATGTGCTTTGGACCTGATAGGCTACCCCAACCAGTGGTCTTTCAAGGCACACCTATGACTAAATGAACCACGATCAAGAATTTAGGTTTAAGCTACACTAGTAATCTTGATCTCTCGCCGCACGCTGACAGAATTACAGCCAAATCTGCCCAGATTCGTGGCTTTATTTTTTACAATTTCTATCTTCCTTAAATTAAATTAAGGCTCTATCGTATGTTTGTACTTCCCATTCTCGAGTATTGTTGCCCATTCTTTGGTTTGATGAATGAAGCCAGTCGTTTAAAAATTGAAAATGTCCAAAGACGATTTTCAAAAAAACTTTTAGATAGGGAACATCCCAATATCTCCTACTCAGATAGATGCCAACTAACTAACCTAAAATTTTTATGGGTTCGAAGACTAGAAGCGGGCTTCTGTCTCCTCTTTCGCATTAATCATAGTTCAAATTTTCCTCGGATTTCAGCACTTACCCCTAGTAGTCGCCCATACAATCTTCGCAATTCGTCTCTAATTATACCTCTTCCAGCGTCCTCCGCCTCTAAGCGCTCCCTTTTTTTCGCTTCCAGGTATACTTTCCTCTGGAATAACCTTCCAATAAATATAAGATCTTCAGAAAATCTACACACCTTTAAGAGAAGGCTACGCCTTTATCTGAATACTGACTCGATTAAACTTTTATTTTCCTCATCCTTCCCAGACAACTTTTCCTATGACATTGAGAAAGGGCCACCGGGAATTTAGCATGCCGCTATTAAATTTCCGTATCTGTTCACGTTTCCTTTCTTTATGAGTAGTCTCGCTACCTAAGATCCCTCACCAGAAATGTTAATTATTCCAATTTTTTAGTTCATGCATCGTGCCCTCACAGAATGCACGCCATCGACGCTCTTGGCGAAACCTTCTGTATTCGCCATATACTAGTTGTCTGGTCGCATCTCTCTTCCCCCATCCTCGGTTGGACTTGGATGAATGTAATCGACCGCATCTGGGTTCCTATCGCCTCGAGACTGATCTTCATGATGCCCTCACTGAATGCGCTTCATCGATGCTCTTGGCGAAGCCTTCTATATTAGCCATATACTAGTAATCTGGTCGCATCTCATTTGCCCTATCCTCGGATGGACTCTGATGAATGTAACAGACCGCATCTGGGGCCTTTTCGCCTCGAGACTGGTTGTCATCGTGCCCTTACAGAATGCGCTCCATCGGCGATCTTGACAAAGCCTTCTGTATTCGCCATATACTAGTAGTTTGGTCGCATCTCCCTTCCCCCCATGTTCGGATGGACTCGGTTGAATGAAACCGACCGCATCTGGGTTCTTGTCGCCTCGAGACTGGTTGTCATCATGCCCTTACAGAATGCGCTCCATCGGCTTTCTTGTCAAAGCCTTCTATATTCGCCATATACTAGTAGTCTGGTCGCATCTCCCCCCATGT